GGACTTGATTCCTAAATGTTTTTGTATGTTCAGTATTTTAACATATTTTTATTCTATATTTTAATATTACAGGATATTCATTGGTTGTCTTGTGTTATAGGTTTGGGGTTTTCCTAAAGAGATTATTCTGCCTTTCAGTTCTTGGGAGCTACAAGCTTTGTCCTCTGCTTGTATTTCTTTTTTTTTATCCTCACCCGAGGACATTTTTCTATTTTTTTGTTCAGATAGAGTGATAGGGAGAGAGAGGAAGAGAGAGAGAGAGAGAGAGAGAGAGAGAGAGAGAGAAACATCGATGTGAAAGGAACACATTGAATGGCCGCCACCCGCACAACCCAACCAGGGCCGGGGACAAACTGCAACCGAGGTACATGCCCTTAGCGGGAACCGAACCCGGGTCTCTCTGGACCGCAGGCCGACGCTCTAACCGCTGAGCCAAACCTGCCAGGGCTCTGCTTGTATTTCTTTTATTCGTCTTACTTTGCCTTGATTAGAACATTGAGCCATAACTTACTGGTTGACGTGTTCAACTATATATACCATTGGAAACGATTCTGTTTGAGCTGTGATCCTGTGGCCTCGTCTCAGCTTTCTTGGGTATTTCAAGCAGAAGTACTTTTCTTCTCACACACATTTTCTTTTCTCTCTTTTTATTTCCTTTTGATTCCCACCTTAATTTTGTTTATCCTGATTTGAAATTCTTATTTAACAAATACTTATTAGCATCTACTGTATACTCAGCACTTTACTAGTTGGCAATTTTAATATATTTCATTTGTGTTAAATTACCCTTTAAAATTTTTCAAAATCCTTATATGTCTTTATGTTTGTTCTTCCTGCACAACTACCTTCTACCTGACATCTTGCTATTGCTTCTGTAGGCTCCCACCCCTGTAAGCCCTGCTTAAATCTCAGTGTGCAGACTTTTATTTCTTCTTACTCATATATATAGTCTACTCCTGGCCAGTGCTTCTAAACACTTTGATGGGTTCAGGGCATCTTTACCAATTTGTGACCATGTGGACAGGGTTGATGGGAGCTACAGTTGATGGTGGCTATAACCTTTCTGTCCTCCCCAGACACCAGCTCATTTCTTCAACTGAAGGAGACATCTGAGCTCTGCCTGGGTTCCCCTTCCTGCACTGTGTCCTGGACATTCTCTCCAGACAGTAATTCAGGGCAAATGTAGGCCCTTATTTGTTTCTTGCCTGTCAGGAATTACTCTCCTTTGTTGCCTGAAGTCCATTGTCTTCAAAACTATCGTTTTAGTCCAGCCAGTGTGGCTCAGTAGATTGAGCATCGTCCCAAGTACTGAGAGGTCCTGGTTCGATTCCCAGTCAGGGCACATGTCCAGCTTTCAGGCTTGATCTCCCATTTAGGGATGTGCAGGAGGTGGCCGATCAATGTTTCTCTCTCTCTAAAAAATCAATAAAAATATATTTTTAAAAAAAAGAAACTATCATTTTATATCATTTGTGTTTTTTCTGTTGCTTCAGGTGGGAAGGTTAATCTGATCCCTGTTGCTCTTTGTTGGCCAGAAGCAGAAGTCCTCTCAGAACACAGCTTTTTATATTTTATACTAATTTCTGTCATGGGAAAATTAAGTGGGTCTGGCCTTCCTTATCTTTTCATCATCTTCCTTTCTGAGCTTCACAAGTATTAAAGAAAATGAGTTTAATATTTATTGAGTGCCTTTCATGTGCTATGTTATATATGTTTTCTAATAAGAATAGGCTTGGTCCCTGTACCAGATGGGCTTCAGGTCGGGTCATGGAGACAGAAAATGTTCTCATTGTTATAATTAAAAGTAATACATATGCCCTGGCTGGTTTGGGTCAATGGTGGAGCGTCGCCCTCAGACCATTGAGTCACAGGTTTGATTCTGGCCAAGGGCACATACCTTGCTTTCGGTTCATCCCCAGCCATGGTTGGGGTCGTGTGGGAGGCAACCAGTTGATGTGTCCCTCTCATGTTGATGTTTCTCTCTCCCCGCCCCCTTCTCTTCCTCTCTCTTTATCTGAAGATAAATGGAAAAATATCTTCGGGTGGGGATTTAAAAAAAAAAAAAATATGTATATATATATATATGATACATATTTCACCCTGGCCAGTTTGGCTTAGCACCTGTGGACCAAAGGGTCTCGGGTTTGATTCCTGGTCAAAGGCATGTACCTGTGTTGCAGGTTCGATCCCCAGCTCTGGTTGAGGTCATTTGGGAGGCAACTAATTGATGTGTCTCTCTCACATCAATGTTTCTTTCTCTCCCTCTCTCCCTCCCCCTCTTCCTCCTTTCCTCTTTCTTTTTCCCTTCCATTCTATCTAAAACTCAATGGAAAAATATCCTTGGGTGAAGATTAACAAGCAAACAAAAAAGTAATGTAAATTCTGAAATATTTATGATGCCACTACAATGTAGAGTGACATATACATTATGTTAAATAGGATAAATGATTAAGCATTAGGATTGATGGCCTTTAGCTGACACTTGTCAATTCTATCTCCTAACCATGACCAGGGTTGTTCACCCTTTCCTGGACATCTGTAATCCTCCCAATGAATGGGGTAGAATTATATCTGTGCTCTTGGTCCCCCAATTCCCCTGGATTTATCTCCTTTCTGCATGACCGCTTCTCTCCACTTGAGCTGATTTCTTTTTTTTTTTGCCTTTACTTCCACCAGTATAAGAATGTCAAAGACTGAAATGTAAAAATTGGCTGTATTTGCTGTAGAAGGATGAGTTTGTTTATTTTCAAAAGTAAAATTTAATTGCCTTTTGGGAAGGGAAGGGAGAAAAGGTTAAGAGTAGTAGAAGACCACAATTATAGTTAATAAATCTGGCCTACATTTCCAAAGGATCTCTTTGGATGATGAATGAAGTGAACTATTCTTTGAGTTGTTTAGGTGAATCTGCGGGTTGCTAGTGACATGTAATCATCTTCCCGCTTCTGTGACTGGGCACTAGGAAATGTGAGGAATGCCATTGTGCACTGACGAGGTCTCAGAAGTGAAAGGTGCTGGCTGATTGGTTCAAGATGAGCAATGCGTGACCTAATCAAGATAGCCAGAACTCCAGTGGTGGGATTTTTCTTTTCTCCTAGTCACTTGCTATGACCAGAGCCTTCTTTGGAAAGATTGCCCACGTTTAGATGACTGTTAGCCTATGTGGTCTCTCTGGTGCTTATAGTAGCTCTGGATATTTCTGCTTCTCCTCAAGGAGCTCATTGATATAATTTCAGACACTATCCTCACTCAAAAGAACATGCCATCTTGCTCTGTGTGGAATATCTTACAAGACACATTGCTGTGTCAGTTTTTATGCTTCTGGTTCCAGATGTCTCTAGCAGCCCTCCTCTTTTGCAGACGCTTGGCCAATGTGTGTGTATGAATAGCCTTTCTGTCCTGCAGAGGCTATGAGAAGCTCTGCCTGAACATTTGAGAATTAACTAGCATTTACTGAGCAAGCCCTCTGTGCGGCACTGGCTGTACATCTTACAGAGATTGTGTAAGAGACTCTGCTGACCTCAAAGGTACTTACAGTCCGGAGGGGAAATAGCATAGGTGAATTCAGAGGCCAATTCAGGAAGACCACCAAAGAAAATTAGAAGATAAGCGAAACAGTATTTTGAGCTCTGTTTCTTCAGACATCTCTGTTGGGACTGGCAGCTCGAGTGACCCAGAGACAGGCATCCCACCATTTGTAGACCTATGCTATTTTGAGATTGAGTGTGTGGTTTGGGAAGGATGTATAACCATTTTCAACAAATGCTTATTGAGTGTGCAAAGTATCATGGTAGGCACAGGGAACACCAGTAAGTTACAACAATAAAATTATTATCTTCTCCTAAGAAACTGCTCATGTTTTGAAAGGCAGGACATGTTTAAGATTTTAAAAATCTTAAGGAGATATAAGTCTTCATAAGTGAAAAGCATTGAACAATTAGTAGAAAAAGCATGTCAACAATTAGTAGAAATATATACTAAACTGTTAACTCTTCTAGGGAGTGGGGCTTGGGTGGTGGGGCATGTGGCAGACAAAGAGGAAGGATCTTCACTTCTTCTATACACATTTCTGTATGGTTGGGAATTTTTATTAAATGCCAATTTTGGAATTATTTCTTTATCAGCTAAAAAACAAACAAAACCAATAGAGACTAGAAGATTATAAACATAATGTTAGCCTTGAATATTTCTGTGTGATAGAATTATGAAAGATTTATATTTTCTTCATTGTACCTCCTATTATTATCTACGTTTTCTATAATGGATATATATTACTTTATAAATAGAGAAAGAAAATATTTGAAAACCTAAAAGCACCTACAGTGATTATTAAATCTGCATTTCAATATGCTTACCATATTTTGGATACAGTATACCAGCTTTCCTTTTTTTGTCTCCTCACTCTCACCCAACTTTATTAAGGTTCTATTATTATTATTATTATTATTATTACCATCATCATCATCATTAGCCTTACTACTACTGTTTAAAAAGGTGAAAGAAGGTCTCTCCCTTGTCATTTTGAGTGAGCCTAGAAGCAAAAGGATTCTAGTTATTAACTATGCACCTATACTATGAAGGCTGCCTAGAAAAATTTAAATTATGCTGATTGGGTTGCAGTTATATCTGTCAGTGTGGGCTCTGATCCCTTGTTTTAAAGCATCCTAAGAATACTTTCTACATATTTATATTTAGTACTATTGGAGAAAGCAATGAGATTATCCCATTTCCCATCGGGTGCAATGAAGAAAACGGGTGCAATGAAGAAAACTTATCTGCTTGGCTTACTTTGTATGAGAGAGAATTAAAATCTCAAAGTTACTTATAATTCAGGTTAAGTAGTTAAGTCCTGTCCTCCAAATTTTGTACTGGGAATCCATGTCCCTTATAATATGAATTTAATTACTTTAAAAGTAATAGTGTTCTGAATTATTTAAGGAAGTCAAAGATTGAAGGAAAGATGTCATTTCTAAATGAATTTCTTTCTTTTTTCTCCCTTACAGCATGTGTTTGATGATCTCAGTGGCTCAGTATCCTTGTCTTGGGTTGGAGATAGCACTGGGGTAAGTAATATTTTGAGGCTGTGAATTCAACTCAGCAAGAAGAAGATGGAGATTTGGGGAGTTTAAGCACTAAATGCTGTCACTTTCTGAAACTTTCTCCAGCCTCAGTCACAGAAATGCATGTGTCAAGGACAGAATCACAGGAAACTGGTTGGTTTGGTTTTGCTGTAGAATGGGAAACATCTTGTAACCACCTTTTTCTGTAATGGGAAGATAGATACCTTTTGACTCCTTGGTGGCTGCTTGGCATCAAGATGAGCAAGAAGAAGAAAGAGGGAAGAGGGTGCTGTATGATGAGAAGTGAGCCTCACAACACTTGGGAAAACCCATGTAGAAGCTGAAACCTGCACATTGCACATCTTGGCATTTTTTCCTCCAAACTGCATTTTCCCCACGTCCTTTCGCACAGTTAGTGTTCAAGGACAGTGGCGCCCATGGGTTCATGGCTTTTTAGCTCCATCTGTTGTCCCTTCCCCTCCCACAATGGAGATGCTGCCAGGATTGGGGGAATGGAAGAAGCATCACTTAGCTCCTTATCCCTCCTAGTATGTAGTCCATCTCCCAGTAGGAGGGTGCACTGAGGACGCCTGGCCCCAGGTCTTGAATCCGGGCTTAGTGTTAGCTGGCTCTGTTATTATCCTGCCTGAACAAGGGCGGGGCCACATCGCATACCCTCTGGATTCCATTAATGTGTGTATCAGCTTTGAGGCACATGATGGCTATGTCAGGACCTCAAAGAAATATAGTTTTGGTGCTGAAGAGCAAGTTGTACATTCATTATCTTAATTAATTTTTAAACTTCTAGTAGAATTTCTTTAAGCATGCCTTAGTTTCTTCTATAATTTGAGTTGTGCCCTAATTCCAATGATTAATCCATTTATATAAGATAGTATCTCCAAGATTTCTTGTTATATGACTGTTTGAGACTCCCTCTTGTAATGATCTCTCAGAATTTGTCCTCATGCATATTTTTTACCTTGAAAAATATTTATTTAAGAAATTAATTTCCTGGAGAACTAAGAGCAGGGGGCAGAAAAGGAGGGCTATATGTGACACAGTGATTTCTGTCAGAGCGTCTGCACTACTCTAGTGTCTGTGCAGGAAGAGGGCTGATTCTTGCCTAAGATATATCTTACAATGATATGGATACAAAATAGTTCATTCCTTCCTTTATTGTAATGTGTAGTTGATTAGTTATGCCTCACTACTTCAAGTATATGTGCTAGAACCATCACAACCAAATGAGTTGAGACCTTGAATCATTGCGGGCCCTAGTGATTTTTTGGTTTTCTGACATATTATAGTATAGGCTATTGCAAAGCAGACCTATTGGCAATCTTTGAGATGTTGATTTAATCCCATCACAGGCAAGCATGTGATTGGACTAGCTTTCTTTTTGATGTCGTGCTTTTCTCTCTCTCCAGATCATTCTAGTCTTGACTACCTTCCATGTACCACTGGTAATTATGACTTTCGGACAGTCCAAGCTATATCGAAGGTGAGATGAATAACGTGATTGTGGCATTGAATGACTAACACATTGTGAATGTAAGTTCCCCACTTTCCTAGATATGATGGAGTCTAACAGTTGATTTAAAAGGTCTTTTAGTCATCTTAAATTTTTATCAAACTGTCATGTTCAGCACACTTTTAAATATTTACTTAACAGCCTTAAAAAGTATGAAAAGGAATCTAGTTCCAAGAAGATTAGGTTGACCTAACTGAATGGCAGAAACAATAAAGGAGACTCTATAAGGGTGTGTGTTCACTAATTTAAATGGATATTTATTTGTGGGAAGGTAGCATGGAGTTCAATAACTTTTTTATTTATTATAAGCACAAAATGGTTTTTATGACCCTGAAGTAACAATCCTCACTGTACCTTCCAAGTAAATATATTATCTAACACTATGAGCTTCAAACAGATTATTTCTAGATCAGGAGGAGGTTCTCAGGTCAGACCTACCAAAGTGCCTTATAGTGTTCATACCAGTAATATGATGGTGGCAGTTTATGTTCTGGAACCATACTGTGACATTTATAAAATTTTAGATTTGTCTTTTCAGAGCTACAGATTGGTTAAATAGTAGGTTCTTTTCCTTAACTGTTAGATGCAAGACAAACTAACTCTTAGAAATTGCTGATTGTCTTCTCAATCATTTTGCATGTCTAATTTCTCCCCAAGGGACCTAAAAAAAAATACGGCATTCTAGCAAATGACATAGAAACTACTCTCAAGGCCAAAGAATCCCCCAGCAGCTATTGTACTTTCTCAGGGGCCCAGGTGGGAGTGAACCCATGTAGAATCTCTGAGATGGATTACACCTTCCCCAATAGGTGTCATCTTGGTTGCTGATTCTGAGCCTGGAGCCAGTGTTCTCTGCCCTTCAACACAGTGATGTTGGCTTAAAAATAGGTTAAGAAGGAATTGTCATCCTGGAATTGCTGTAAGCTCCACGAAGCCAAGGTTCTTAACTAACTTGGTTTCTCCAGCAACTAGCCAAATGAGTGATACAGAGTAGTAGGCAGGCAGTCCATACTAATTGAATGAATGAATACCTTGGCTTCTCTATCATTTTTAGACTGATAATTTTCTTATTTGTTTGATAAGGATTGACAATGTATTATAGAATCCTAGTGCTAGAAAGGGCTATAATTTATAGGTGATTTTGTTTATTCAATTAGAATAGTAACAGAACTATTTCAGACAAATGAAAAGTGTCCTGTTTGGGGAGGAAAAACATAAGAAATTATAACTTCAAAACTCTTTCCAGTGTTTAAGAAACCTTGCTGTCATCAAATTTTTCATTATGATAGTTTTTTTTTTAACAATTTACCTTTCATAATAAAAACAGTATACTATGTGTATAACATTTGAGAATTTTATTTTATTTTATTTTTTTATCTTTATTGTTGAATGTATTACAGATGTTCCTCATTTTTCCCCCATTGACCCCCTCCTCCCCACTCCCGCCCCCCTCCCGCCTTTTCCCACACTGTTGTCTTGTGTCCATTGGTTATGCATATAAGTTCTTTGGTTTATTTCTTCCCACCCCCCAACCCCTTTCCCTTTAAGGTTTGTCAGTCTAGCAACAAATTTGTACTTCTTAATCCCTTCATTTTTTTCACCCATTCCCTCAACCTCCCTCCCATCTGGCAACCAACAAAATATTCTCTGGATCTATGAGAATGTTTCTGTTCTGCCTGTTCATTTTGTTTGTAGATTCAATTGTCAATAGATATGCATTCATTGCCATTTTGTTTGTTCATATATTTTATCTTTTTCTTCAAAAAGACCCTTTATCATTTCATATTAATAATGGTTTGGTGGTGATGAATTCCTTTAACTTTTTCTTATCTGGGAAACTCTTTATATAGCCATCGATTCTAAATGACAGCTTTGCAGGATAGAGTAATCTTGGTTGTAGGTTCTTGCTTTTCATCACTCTGAATATTTCTTGCCACTCCCTTCTGGCCTGCAAAGTTTCTTTTGAGAAATCAGCTGACAGTCTTATGGTAACTCCCTTGTAGGTAACTAACTGCTTTTCTCTTGCTGCTTTTGAGATTCTCTCTTTGTCTTGAACCTTTTGCATTTTGATGATGATGTGTCTTGGTGTGGGCCTCTTGGGGTTCATCTTGTTTGGGACTCTCTGTGCTTCCTGAACTTGTATGTCTGTTTCCTTCACCAAGTTAGGAAAGTTTTCTGCCATTATTGTTTCAAACAGGTTTTCGATTTCTTGTTCTCTCTCTTCTCCTTCTGGCACCCCCAAGATGTGAATGTTGGCATGTTTGAAGTTGTCCCAGAGGCTCCTTACACTATACTCATTTTTTTGGCTTCTTTTTTCTTTTTGCTGTTCTGATTGGGTGTTTTTTGCTTCCTTATATTCCAAATCAATGATTTGCTTCTTGGTTTTACCTACTCTACTATTGAATCTGTATAAATTATTCTTTATTTCAGTTAGTGCCTCCTTCATTTCTGACTGTGCATCCTTCATTTCTGACTGGTCCTTTTTTATGCTCTTGAGGCCCTCACTAAGTTCGCTGAGGTTCTCACTAAGTTCATTGAGCATTCTTATAAACAGTATTTTGAACTCAGCATCTGTTAGGTTGCTTATCTTTATTTCGCTTAGTTATTTTCCTGGGGTTTTGTCCTGTTCTTTCATTTGAGACCTGTTTCTTTGTCTCCTCATTTTGGCTACCTCTCTGTGTTTGTTTCTGTGTATTATTTAACGAGAGGTATGGGGCTGAGACCAGATGCTGCTTGTTTGAAAAAATTTAGGAAAACCTGAAGCAGGATCCAAGAAAGGCCAATCCTATGGTAAAGCAACTGGCAACAACTTGGGTGGGCCTGAAAGTTGGGTGGGGCAGGGCCTCAGGGAATCACCAGGGCAGGGCAAACAGTGTGAGCCAGGTTGCTGGAATCCCAGATATGGCAGCTCTCTGCCGCCCAAGAGAAGGGCCTCTGACAGCATGTTTGTCCAGGAGAAAGCCCCCTCTTCAGCCCTCACTCCAATGCCAAACAGCTCAGTTCTTCCCTGTATGTCTCTGGTGCCCCTTGAGCTGCCCCCACTCCAAGCTTAGAGGGAGTGAGTCTGGTAAGTCCATGCACAGGCCCTTTAAGGAGCTGCCTGGGGCTCTATCCGCCTCAGCCTCCCTGAGCCTCAGTTCCCTCTGCTTTTTCCAGCCAGAAATTATGGGGATTCTCTTCCTGGCACTGGAATCCTGAGCAGGGCGCCTGGTGTGGGACAGGGACCCCTCAGTCCTCAGGGAGGACCTTCCCAGCCGAGGTGTCCTGATTTTTATCCGTCACACATGGGTGTGGGACCAGCCCATCGGCCTCCGCCTCTCCTACCAGTCTCGATGTGGCTGCTGCTTTAATTCCATAGTTGTAGGACTCCATTCAGCTTGATTCCAGGCGGTTTTGAATGATGGTTGTTCTGTAGTTTAGTTGTAACTTTGATGTGGTTGTGGGAGGACGCGATACTGCGTTTACCTATGCTGCCATCTTGACCAGAAATCACATTTGGGAATTTTAAAGGAAAGAAATTTCATCCTAATGTCAAGTGTAATTTTAATTTATTTACAGTTGATTATCTTGATTTTCTCCTTTAATGTTATATCATATTGCTACATAGTTTCCAGACGCAACATGGTACAGTGTAAAGTTGCCAGGTTTTGTTGCAAATGGGCCTGGAATTGAATCTCAGCACTATCATTTGCAAGCAGAATGAACTTGAGCTGGTTACTTCACCTCCCTGAGATTTTTTGTTATCTAAAAGAAAGATGATAACAATGATAACCTTAGAGCTATTGTGACTTATGATTTGCAGTGTCTGGGGTGGAGTAAGAACTTGGTTAGCAGCTGCCATGCCTGCAGCCAGCAAAGGCAGGTAGCCAGACTGTACTGACACTGCTGTGCCAATTGTTAAAATGAACTGAAAGCTTTCTATGCCAGTTGGTAAAAGGTGATTGTCTGCCCCCAAATGCCTCCATGGCTTCTAGAGATGAATGTACACCCCTGCCCTGCCAACACACAAGCATCACTAATACTTAGCATTATGACCTGTATCTATTCTGATTGATGCTCATACCATGATATTTTTCATATCCCCTCTGCTAGTAACCCATCATTTTTGTTAGATTGATGGAATTTACTAAATAATTATTCTCTTGGACACTTAGGTTGCAGCTAAATTTTCACTATTAATACTGCTGTGATAAATATCACACACATATGTATAAGAAGATGCTAATTTCCAGTTCATTTTTTAGTAGCAAATGAAAACCTCTTTTCTTATCGACCTCTAGATGTTTTTGAAGGCTATTTACTAAGCTCCTCCTTCTCCAGGTTAAATGATCTTCTGTACTTGTTGCTTCAGCCACTTTTTTGCTTGCCTTCTGAATTCTCTACATTGCTATTTAATCAAACTGGACTTGACAGATTCCTAGTTAGACCCACAGGGAGTGAAATGTGTTTTCACGACCTTTTTCCCACCCTTTTGCTTTTCAATATTGTGCTTACTTTAAGACCACTAAAACCAAAAACCAAACTGTTTAAATACCTACCACCATCTGACTCAGCCCGTTTCATCCTCTATCTGTCTGGTCTATGAGAAACCCCCAGCATACACTTTACTAGCGAGCACTCTTATTTGTTTCTGGGATAGTGTCACGTTAACAACTAAGGTGCTTTTACTGCATGGTGTATAGCAGTTTTGATTTTTTTTTTTTTCTTTTTTACAAAGGCGCTTTTACTGCATGGTGTATAGCAGTTTTGTTGTTTTTTACTGAGGTAATTTTGCATATGAATTCTTTTTTTTATCCTCACCCGAGGACATTTTTCCATCTTTTGTTCAGATAGAGTGGGAGGGAGAGAGAGAGAGAGAAACATCTGATGTGAAAGGGACACATCCAGTGGCCGCCACCACACAACCCAACCAGGGCTGGGGACAAACTGCAACCGAGGCACGTACCCCCAGCGGGAACCAAACCTGGGTC